TTCTTGGGGTCATAGGCAGCATTCCTCCTCCTCCAAACACGGCGAGTTGAGTTGATGCCAAATAGCTCCATTTTGGTCTCATATGACCACAACACTTTCACCCAGTTCTCCTCTGAATCATTCAGATGTTCATTGGCAAACTTCAGACGGCCCTGTATATGTGCTTTCTTGAGCAGGTGGACCTTGCGGGCGCTGCAGGATTTCAGTCCTTCACGGCGTAGTGTGTTACCAATTGTTTTCTTGGTGACTATGGTCCCAGCTGCCTTGAGATCATTGACAAGATCCTCCCGTGTAGTTCTGGGCTGATTCCTCAAAGTTCTCATGATCATTGCAACTCCACGAGGTGAGATCTTGCATGGAGCCCCAGGTCGAGGGAGATTGACAGTTCTTTTGTGTTTCTTCCATTTGCGAATAATCGCACCAACTGTTGTCACCTTCTCACCAAGCTGCTTGGCGATGGTCTTGTAGCCCATTCCAGCCTTGTGTAGGTCTGCAATCTTGACCCTGACATCCTTGGAGAGCTCTTTGGTCTTGGCCATGGTGGAGAGTTTGGAATCTGATTGATTGATTGCTTCTGTGGACAGGTGTCTTTTATACAGGTAACAAGCTGAAATTAGGAGCACTCCCTTTAAGAGTGTGCTCCTAATCTCAGCTTGTTACCTGTATAAAAGACACCTGGGAGCCAGAAATCTTTCTGATTGAGAGGGGGTCAAATACTTATTTCCCTCATTAAAATGCAAATCAATTTATAACATTTTTGACATGCGTTTTTCTGGATTTTGTTGTTGTTATTCTGTCTCTCACTGTTCAAATAAACCTACCATTAAAATTATAGACTGATAATTTCTTTGTCAGTGGGCAAACGTACAAAATCAGCAGGGGATCAAATACTTTTTTCCCTCACTGTATATACTGAACAAAATATAAACGCAACATGCAACAATTTCAAGATTTTACTGAGTTACAGTTCATATAAGGAAATCAGTCAATTGAAATAAATTAAGTAGGTCCTAATCTATGGACTTCACATGACTGGGCAGGGGTGCCAGGCCTAGCCAATCAGAATGAGTTTTTCCCCACAAAAGGGCTTTATTACAGACAGAAATACTCCTCAGTTTCATCAGCTGTCCGGGTGGATGGTCTCAGACTATCCCACAGGTGAAGAAGCCGGATGTGGAGGTCCTGGGCTGGCGTGGTTACACTTGGTCTGCGGTTTTTAGTCCGGTTGGACGTAATGCCAAATTCTCTAAAACAACGTTGGAGGTGGCTTATGGTAGAGAATTGAACATTCAATTATCTGGCAACAGCTCTGGTGGACATTCCTGCAGTCAGCATGTCAATTACACGCTCCCTCAAAACTTGAGACATCTGTGGTATTGGGATGTGTGACAGAACTGCACATTTTAGAGTGGCCTTTTATTGTCCCCAGTACAAGGTGCACCTGTGTAATGATCGTGCTGTTTAATCAGCTTCTTGATATGCCACACCTGTCAGGTGAATGGATAATCTTGGCAAAGGAGAAATGCTCACTAACAAGGATGTAAACAAATGTATGCACAACATTTGAGAGAAATAAGCTTTTTGTGCGTCTGGAAAATTTCTGGGATCTTCTATTTCAGCTCATGAAACATGGGACCAACACTTTACATGTTGCGTTTATATTTTTGTTCAGTAGTACAAATTGGATTCGTAAGATATCTAATTGTTTCTTTTTTTGCAGGACGTAACATATCATAAGAAATGGATGACATAGCGCACAATCTGATGACTAGTACACCAAAAAACAGGGACCACTTTTGGTTCGTGAGCACCACTTTCAAAACTACTGGCTGAAATTATACAAATGTCTTCCATTCTGTCACATTAGATTAGATTTTTCTCATGGTTTTAAAAAAGAAGACATTTGTCTGTGGCTCATTTGTGATGCTAGTCAGCCAATGCCTCCAGGCCAGGCAGTCACTAAAAGCAACTCAACTCTTGTCTAAAATATTAGCGTCCAGAAACGACTAAGCTAAGTGCAGGGTAGCCAGAAACGACTAAGCTAAGTGCAGGGTAGCCAGAAACGACTAAGCTAAGTGCAGGGTAGCCAGAAACGACTAAGCTAAGTGCAGGGTAGCCAGAAACGACTAAGCTAAGTGCAGGGTAGCTACTTTCTTTCAGCTGTCCTCCTCTTTGCCCTCCGTCTGCTTTGCGCTGGCAGTCCAAACTGAGATATATTAATAACTAGGTGACATGATGTGACCCCTAGACTGCAGATACACTGTTCCTCTGGCTAACGATGACAGGGCCTTATTAGGACGAGACTTCCTGATTGATCACGGATAATCAGCTCATTAGGCCTGATTAGCTACTGTTCAAGGGGGAATCTTTCACACGGGATCGTCTCGGGTGTGTGTGTGTGTGTGTTCTGAGGTTGTACTAGCACGTCTGAGAACAACGGGTGATAAGAGACTGGATTAGCTAGGTAAATAAGTGGAAAGTGATAGATAACCAATAGGAAGCTACTCTCTGCCAGTGTCTGCAGGGCAAGACGGGGCTAAACTCATTGTTTCTTTGCAAAGTAAAACATTAAACATACAACAAAAACCAAGTTATTGAACTTCTTTACAATATGTTCACAGTAGACTATATATTATGTAGTATAAAGATGTTATAATGTTAGTCCTATATGTGTAATTAAGATAAAATGTTCACCCTTATATAGGGAGAGAGAGAGAGAGAGAAAGAGAGAAGCGAGGAGCGAGAGATAGAGAGAAGAGAGAGAGAGAGAGAGAGATGAGAGAGAGAGAGAGAGAGAGGGCAAGAGAGAGAGATGAGATGAGAAGAGAGAGAGAGGAGAGAGAGAGAGAGAGAGAGAGTAGAGAGAGAGAGAGAGAGTCGAGAGAGAGAGAGAGACGAGAGAGAGGGAGAGAGGAGGGGAGAGAGAGGCGGAGAGAGAGAGACGAGAGAGCGAGAGTGAGGAGCATGAGAGAGCGAGAGAGAGAGAGAGAGAGAGAAGAGAGAGAGAGAGAGCGAGAGAGAGAGAGAGAGGAGAGATGAAGGAGAGAGCGAGAGAGAGTGAGAGAAGGCGCGAGAGAGCGAGAGAGCCGGAGAGAGCGAGATGATCGAGAGAGCGAGAGAGGAGAGAGAAACATATCATGATGTGCATAATCATTCCAGGTCCAATGGCTTCATTGACGGGAAGGAGGGGCTTTTACACAGACAGACCCAGAGTCTTTATGCAACCATCTACTCTCAATGGGAACAGGAAACCAACACGTCATTAGTTTTAAAAAAACACAATTAACACAAGTACAATTAAAACCTTTAGGGCTGGTTTCCCGGACACAGATTAAGCCTAGTCCTGGACAAAATGTAATGTTCAAAGAAGATAGTCCTATACTAGACTTGAGCAAGGTATTTATTTTATTGTATTTTACTTTGTGTCCGGGAAACCAGCCCTTAACATTATTACTACTTTAACATTCTTCTCAGATCCTTTAGTAATGAATATAACAATCCTCAATATAAAAGCTTGATGGCACGATCTTAAAAAAGGAACAAAAATCTAATTGGAATGACTGGGAAAGGGTAGTGCCTTGGCATTGGGCTAAATTGCTTTGGGAAATCATAAAATGAACGGCAAGACACCAACTCCTCGAGGAGAAGTTGATGATAGTTAGTCGTGACACTTCCCAAAACGACTTTATGCAAATCAGCAGTTTTCTTTTCCAAGGCTGAATGACACCGCGACCCACGCAAAGGCAAATGTTTACAGAAAACATAAGATGGAGCCTCCAACAAGTTGGCTTTACGGTTCCCTTTAATCTCAGCCATTAATCACATCACCACACACTAAGAGATATAAATGCATCAATCATGAGGAAATAGCATGATGGATGGAGGATGCATCAATCATGAGGAAATAGCATGATGGATGGAGGATGCATCAATCATGAGGAAATAGCATGATGGATGAAGGAGTCAAGAGGTCCTTCTCTCTCTCTCTCTCTCTCTCTCTCTCTCTCTCTCTCTCTCTCTCTCTCTCTCTCTCTCTCTCTCTATTCAATGGGCTTTATTGGCATGGGAAACATATGTTTACATTGCCAAAGCAAGTGAAATAGATCATAAACAAAAGTGAAACGAACAAAATAAAATTAACAGTAAACATTACTCTCACAAAACTTTCAAAAGAATAAAGACATTTCAAATGTCATATTATGGCTATATACAGTGTTGTAATGATGTGCAAATAGTTAAAGTACAAATGGGAAAATAAATAAACATAAATATGAGTTGTATTTACAATGGTGTTTGTTCTTCACTGGTTGCCCTTTTCTTGTGGCAACAGGTCACACATCTTACTGCTGTGATGACACACTGTGGTATTTCACCCAATAGATAAGGGAGTTTATCAAAATTGGATTTGTTAGGGAATTCTCTCTCTGACTTGCAAATGCAGAAGGAGGAGAAGGAGTGAGGGAGGAGGAGAGAGGAGGAGTGAGGGAGATGGAGAGAGGAGGAGTGAGGAAAGAAGAGAGGAGGAGTGAGGGAGGAGGAGAGAGGAGGAGTGAGCGAGGAGTGAGCGAGGAGGAGGGCGGGAGGAGAGAGGAGGAGGGAGGAGGAGAGAGGAGGAGTGAGGGAGGAGGAGAGAACGTTGTGAAAATGCCTGGATGGCGTCCTCCATGCGTCATTGCCTGCGTCCCAAATGGCATCCTATTCCCTACATAGTGCACTACTTTTGACCATAGGCCTAAGTCAAAAGTAGTGCACTATGTAGGGAATAGGATACCATTTTGGGACGCAGACAATGACGCATGGAGGACGCCATCCTCCGAAGCCCCGTCCCTCTTTACTGCTCCACGTCACGTCCCCCAGCCAGCACATTAATCATACGGCAGGAGGAATGAGGCAGAGCATCTGTAATACTTACAAATGGTGGGCAGGAGCCACTGAAGGACAAGGAAAGGTCGACGCACAACGTAGCCAGCATTAAATGTTTCAGTCGCTGTTACAGGAGGAGACGATGCATAACAGAGGGGGAAAGGAGAAGAGCCGCCTCCCCTTCTCTTGTGTGTGTGTGTGTGTGTGTGTGTGTGTGTGTGTGTGTGTGTGTGTGTGTGTGTGTGTGTGTGTTCGTCCATTCAGCCCAACACACATTAACAGTTATTTATGGGGTGGTATAAAGACAAGGACAGATGGAGGACATGGTGTCTACAAATGGAACCTAGAAACTAAGGGTTGTGTTTTAGCACAGGGTGTTCGCCTATCCATTTGAATTTGCAGTAGAGGTGTTGAATGATTGCATTTACATTTTTCACACCAAGCAAAGACAGATAAGAGACCCTCATTGTTTGTTTGTGTGTGATGAGGTATGCAGGGATTGTGTTAGCTAGCTACCTGTAATTATATTGCAGTAAATAGGAAAATGCAATTTCCGTATGTACCTATGTATGATATCGAGATAGCATGTCCTTTATAACATGTGCAAACCTTGCCTCATAACCTTGAGTGATGACATAGCTAAAATGTGAATCGTCAGCCCATGCAATCCATATTTATCACAATGCATATCAATGGTAAATGAGATAGTATCTGGATCGTGTTGGACTTTGACATTTAAGGCTCAACATGATGTGCCTCATATGTTAATTAATATGTGTCTGCATTACTTTAAGTCCCACTGTGATTTTCACAGCCATTATGTGTTTTCAAATTACGAAGTCTGTTAAGAGCCTTTTCCTTGAAGGTCCACTATGATTTAAGTCTGTTAAGATCCTTTTCCTTGAAGGTCCACTTTGATTTAAGTCTGTTAAGAGCCTTTTCTTTGAAGGCCCACTATGATTTAAGTCTCTTAAGAGCCTTTTCCTTGAAGGCCACTATGATTTAAGTCTGTTAAGAGCCTTTTCCTTGAAGGCCCACTATGAATTAAGTCTTTCAAGAGCCGTTTCCTTGAAGTCCCACTATGATTTTCAAAGTCATATGTTTTTACGACTTAAGGGGTGGTCCTTAAGAGAGAGAGCAGGCCTGGATATCAAATGTGTAATGGGTTTTTCGATTCCTAACAGAATGAATATTCGGCTGTGTTACAGGAGGATGAGGGCGGTGAGGGCCGGTTCAGCTTCACCGCCTATGGCATGGGCCCAGCCTGCCTTCAGGCCAAAGACGGCATGGCCATCAAAGGGAACAACAACAACGCCCCGACCGCCACTGCCGGCCCTCAGGAGAAAACGGTGGAAGAGATGCGCAAGCTCTTCATCGGCCGCGCGAAGAGGATCGACACGGTCTCTCGCGTGGCTTTCCCGCTAGTCTTCCTCATTTTTAATATTTTCTACTGGCTCGTATACAAGATCATCCGAAGCACGGATGTACACCAGATGACGTAAGCAAGGGAAGAGAGAGAGTTCAATACCACACCATCCTGCTCCCAACCCCAATACTCCTCGCTCTTCACTTGCTCACTTGCTTTTGGTGGCTATCGCCTTGGAATAGGTAATTTATCAATATTTGTTATTTTATTTTATTTCCCCCCTCTTTTCTCCTGAATAATCCGGACCAGTGCAATAGCAATGCAGTAAAATGCATGATATATGAATGTGGCAATATATTTACAAAATGATAAAGAAGTAAATATTAAGACTTTTACCGATACATCCAAGTACTTCGGAATTTATGATAGTGAGAATTTAAAAAGAAAGAAGACAGATAGTGCATTATAAAGAAGAAGAAGTTTGGGAAACATACAGAACTGTAATATATTATATATCTATCATAAATTTAAAAACGGTTATTTATTCGAAAGGCAGGCGTCTGGATGGAACACGAGGGATGGATTTTAAAAGGATACTAAGACGATTTAGTGCTTCCATTAATAAAGTGATGCAAGGATCGTGTGTCCAATATATCTCAATTAGCTTCAATGTGTGTTGCAAGCCCTCAACAAAAATGGAGATTTCATGTGGTTGATGCTGCTATCAACTATATGAAGGAAACTTGATGAGTGGGGGAGTGAAAGTAATATTCTATTGTTTCTAACCGCTGTGGTCAACGTGTTCCTCTATCTGTCCTTAACTTTATTTCTCAATTGCGTATCGTTTTTACTTTACGTGTCAAGTGTACATCATGTTGCTGTAATCAGCTCAAGCTCTTATTGGGAACGCTACATTCTAAATTCTATAAAGGGACATTTGCCATCATTTACATATCGTCATTGTTGCATACATTTATTTATTTATTCATGTTCTTTTTTTTAAAAGGATTTGGTACTTATATCAAAATATGATTCATTAAAAGTGAATCTACACTGGAAAAGCATTTATTTTATTTTTTTATCCAGATTCGTCCTACTCATTTCATTGAAGCTGTACGGTTAACATTTGTTTAGTTCTAGTTCTTTTCATAGCTTATTGCTTGTTGCCTAGTTACAGTAAAATGCCCAGAAGGCGATGGAGTTAATGAGTTAAGATTTAACAAGGAAACACCTGCTGTACCTTAACAATTATTACCATGGATACATTTACACACATTAATAATGTAGCTAAAAACACATGTATTATCATCATCATTTACTAAATATGCCTAAAGATATTCACTCAAAATCATGGAAAGCGGTTTGATACTTTAACAGCAATGATTAACACAATATTCTCATTGGTGTATCATACAGTACATTTTATAGATCACACCACTACAGTAAACCGTGCCACTGATTGATTGATTGATTTAACTAGTCAGTGGCTTGATTTAAGATACTAAAATCCATTACTTCTCACCAGGCTTTTCTATGCAATAATTAAATATATGCAATTATGTTTTATTAGCTTTACCATTTACAACACATTATAATGAATCTGTTTGAACTTGTGTGCCATCAAGTTTTTTAATCTCAGACATCACAGTGCTCATATTTCCAATGGTGGACATACATACATACATACATACATAGATGCATACATGAGGCCTTCATATCTACATCTCCAAGCATAATGTAAACTATTCACCCTCCTCCTAGCGCCATCATTCTAAACACATTTACATTAAACTACAAGTGGGCCAAGCTACAGTGGCTTTTCATATTGCATATTTAAAGACATTCTGCTCTCTGTGGCCCCAACCTCTGGCACATGGTTTAACTAGCCTGAGGTGCTGTCACCAAGCCCCAGAAATAAAGACTACACTACTGCTACCACAGGAAATGTGGCCTGCGACACATTGTCATGGATGGGGGCGATTCGGACACAGTGGAAATAAACACTTGTCGAGTGAGTTTTTACATTTAACTTTAATGCCAAATGTTATTTTCCTCTACTTGGTTTTTATTCCAAACCAAATAAGTATTTTGTTAACCTATGATCATTGCCTTCCTGGTTCGGTGTTGAACATGATGACATAAGGGGAAAGATGCCAGAACACTTTTGCAACAGATATTATGCACTGGTTCAGGATATTGTTTAGGTTTTGTTGTCGTAACTTAAATCGATTCAGTTCTTTCCATTGACTTTCCAGTGTGTAGATAAAGTGCTTCCATTTATTTTTGTGGTGATATGACGCTATTCAATTAACAATATAATATATTTTGATATGAAACTTTTTCTGCTTCTTCATCCCTGTTTTATTTTCTTCTTGAAAAGTGTACTCCATTACTTTTTTAACAGGTCATAGATTTTCGAATGTGTTAATGATAGTTTGAGGTAGTTTGATGTTTGAGGCTTGATGGACTTGCACAAGAGATTACAACAATATTTTACATTTCGGTCAACTATTTCTTAAATTCATATTACTTTCCAGTTGAGGCAGTATTTTTCAAACAGACACGGTCCATGGGTAAACTGATTCGAAGGACTATGTTTTTCTATTAGTGTTATTTTATCCCAGCAAATTAACTTTTCAACATGGAGCATACTTACGTAATGTGTAATGCTTTACCCAAAACTAAGCATTTATAAAAGTTAATTGCTAGAATGGGGTTAAAACATATTGGCCATTTAAAATATCAGCACGGTAATCAATATGTTTTGAAAGTGCTGGATGATTTGTTGATACAGTATTTATTTGTAGGCCGCAATATTTCAGTACAGAATTTTACCATGAATCTTTCCTCAGTTTTGACTTCCTCAGTCAAAAATATGAATTCAGTAAAATACTATCCAGTGTTGAATATGCAACTAACTAAGAACTAATCATAACATGTACCTCCACTCAACCACCATGATATTCACTCATCCATTCAATAGTCATGGATTGAACTCTTATGCCCTGACCATGTGAAGGATCACTGCACTTGGGAACATGCTATATGGATTTATTGTAACCAATTGCTTATTAAGGTGCATTATTACTAGCAACCTGTCCAGGGGGTATACTTGTACATCAAGCTGCCTCATGCTACAGAAACAGGAGATAGGCTCCAGGGTTGGGGTCAATTCCAATTAAAATTGAATTTTAATTCAATTAAGAATCGACCTGGAATTTGAATAGAATACATGCAAATTAAAAGGCAGAAGGAATTGAATTGGAATTGAATTGATGGAATTTACCCTGACCCTGATAGGCTCCTGCCCTACGGGACAAGGGGCAGGGGCTCGGACAAGGCTTACTTTGTTTATGTTATTCAAGATGGAAATTACACTTACTGCTCTGAATAGAGAACTTCAAGAAGGTCTAACGTATTCTAGAACACTGACACATTCTAGAACAAGAATTGTATGTTTAACTTAATTGCTCAGCGGATCAATGTTCAAAGTATGGAAGAGATTGGAATGTTCACTGATGGGGAAAACTCCATTGGACTGATAGGACTTCCTACCCTTCATATCAACCTGACCTATCATAATGTCAAATATTATTGACAATGAAGGAAGTTCATATAATATTTGGCATATAGGACAGTGTAATATGAACATTTTAAAAGTATGAAATTCAACTAGCATGTTATGATTTGTTAGTAATTGCTGATAACAACAGCTGTTTGGTTCTGTTTATTGTATTTGTAATATATCAGATGCCCTGGTTATGGTGATGCACTCACCACCCAGTGATAGAAATGGACAGAAATAACCAGTCATGAACTGAACTGTACACAAAAATGGAAACGTTTTTATTTATGTATTGTTATTAATTTTTAGCACAAGTTGGAATGGCCTTAATTTTGGTTTACTTGCTTAAATATTGTGTATTGGCACAAAGTGCACATCTTAATTTGCTAGTTACAGTTATCATAATAATCCAAGAGTGCACTTCAGAAGAAGGAAAAAAGTTCAGCAAATCTTTTTTATTTTTCATTAAAATGTGAAAACACTGAATATTTTGCATGAATATAAATACAATGGCAGATATTTTGGGCTTGTACAAAAATGTAAGCAATTTGAAGAAAAAAGGAATGTACAATTTCTGCTGTAAATGTATATAACTAAATATTTATTGAAATATGTCATTATAAGTAATTCGAATTACAATTAAAGGTTTTCTGAACAAACATTTCTTTACCTTTTTTTTGAAAAATTGTCAAGAGTTGGATGGTCGGAGTTGGACTATTGCTCTCTGTTACCCAGCTCAAGGATCTGTTTCCCAGATCAATTATCTGTGTATAATCATAAGAAGTATTAAAAATTACAAACAATAAATTACATTCTATTGCTAACTAGAAAAAAGCCCTTGAGGAGACAACTATTTCTCTCTCCACTTTATGATTGAATTGGGCTTCCTATAGTTGACTTTCAAAAACATGTTACATAAATGGTAAGCATTTTAAATACAAATTGAAATTATTATATTTCAGCAGACGCTCTTATTCAGAGCGACTTACAGGAGCAATTAGGGTTAAGTGCCTTGCTCAAGGGCACATCGACAGATTTTTCACCTAGTCGGCTCGGGGATTAGAACCAGCGACCTTTCGGTTACTGGCAAAACGCTCTTAACCACTAAGCTATTGTGAAATGGTAGCCAAATGCTGTAGCCAAATAGCTATCCATGTGCTTTTTTCTCCGTGACCAAAACATGATGACTAGCGAGGGAAGGCGACTCTTCCTTGCTTTTACAAAATGAAATGACAAAAATAAAAATAAACTTTGCTCTAGCCTCCTTGTGAATTGGAGTGGGACCGGTGAGGATATCATGTAACCACAATGTGTCCGCTTCTCCAAAAATCCCACTCCCCCATGCGCATGCACATCAACAACGGAGTGAAGCTTGTATTAACCTTAAGGTGCCCTAGAACACAACACGACACAAAACAGACATGTTCCTGCCATGTTTCAGCCATGTTCCTGCCATGTTTCCGCCATGTTCCTGCCATGTTTCCGCCATGTTTCTGCCATGTTCCTGTCATGTTTCAGCCATGTTCTGCCATGTTCCTGCCATGTTCCTGCCATGTTTCCGCCATGTTTCTGCCATGTTTCCGCCATGTTTCTGCCATGTTCCTGCAATGTTTCAGCCATGTTTCTGCCATGTTCCTGCAATGTTTCAGCCATGTTTCTGCCATGTTCCTGCCATGTTTCTGCCATGTTTCCGCCATGTTTCTGCAATGTTCCTGCCATGTTTCAGCCATGTTTCTGCCATGTTCCTGCCATGTTTCTGTCATGTTCCTGTCATGTTTCCGCCATGTTTCTGCCATGTTCCTGCCATGTTTCCGCCATGTTTCTGCCATGTTCCTGCCATGTTTCAGCCATGTTTCTGCCATGTTCCTGCCATGTTTCCGCCATGTTTCTGCCATGTTCCTGCCATGTTTCCGCCATATTTCTGCCATGTTCCTGCCATGTTTCAGCCATGTTTCTGCCTAATGCCTCAGTACTTACATCCACCTGCAGTTGACTGGGCTGTTAATTGTGTTAGATGACAAGCACCACTCATACAAACACAAACACAGCTGTTAATTGTGTCAGATGACAGTTGGCTAATTGTCTGTGGGTGGTTCACCAGAACAGGTGCAGAAATGTATTCATGAATTCATCATTCAAGGAACCCAGTATACTGTAGACCTACAGACGTGTATGGATGGTATGACATATAGTGTTTTCTGACTTATAGAGGGAGACCATAGAGAGGGAGACCAATGGAGAGGGAGACCATAGAGAGGGAGACAAATAGAGAGGGAGACCATAGAGAGGGAGACCATAGAGAGGGAGACCATAGAGAGGGAGACTATAGAGAGGGAGACTATAGAGTGGGAGACTATAGATAGGGAGACAAATAGAGAGGGAGACCATAGAGAGGGAGACCATAGAGAGGGAGACCATAGAGAGGGAGACTATAGAGAGGGAGACCATAGAGAGGGAGACTATAGAGAGGGGAGACTATAGAGAGGGAGACTATAGAGAGGGAAAGGGTACAAATAGAGAGGGAGACATAGAGAGGGAGACCATAGAGAGTGGCGACCATAGAGAGGGAGACTATAGAGAGGGAGACTATAGAGAGGGGACCATAGAGAGGGAGACCATAGAGAGGGAGACCATAGAGAGGGAGACTATAGAGAGGGAGACCATAGAGAGGGAGACTATACAGAGGGAGACTATACAGAGGGAGACTATAGAGAGGGAGACTATAGAGAGGGAGACAAATAGAGAGGGAGACCATGGAGAGGGAGACCATAGAGAGGGAGACCATAGAGAGGGAGACTATAGAGAGGGAGACCATAGAGAGGGAGACCATAGAGAGGGAGACCATAGAGAGGGAGACTATAGAGAGGGAGACAAATAGAGAGGGAGACCATAGAGAGGGAGACCATAGAGAGGGAGACAAATAGAGAGGGAGACCATAGAGAGGGAGACTATAGAGAGGGAGACCATAGAGAGGGAGACCATAGAGAGGGAGACCATAGAGAGGGAGACTATAGAGAGGGAGACTATAGAGAGGGAGACAAATAGAGAGGGAGACCATTGAGAGGGAGACCATAGAGAGGGAGACCATAGAGAGGGAGGCCATAGAGAGGGAGACCATAGAGAGGGAGACCATAGAGAGGGAGACCATAGAGAGGGAGACTATAGAGAGGGAGACCATAGAGAGGGAGACTATAGAGAGGGAGACCATAGAGAGGGAGACCATAGAGAGGGAGACCATAGAGAGGGAGACCATAGAGAGGGAGACCATAGAGAGGGAGACTATAGAGAGGGAGACCATAGAGAGGGAGACCATAGAGAGGGAGACCATAGAGAGGGAGACTATAGAGAGGGAGACAAATAGAGAGGGAGACCATAGAGAGGGAGACCATAGAGAGGGAGACAAATAGAGAGGGAGACCATAGACAGGGGGACTATAGAGAGGGAGACCATAGAGAAGGAGACCATAGATAGGGAGAGCATAGATAGGGAGACTATAGAGAGGGAGACTATAGAGAGGGAGACCATAGAGAGGGAGACTATAGAGAGGGAGACTATAGAGGGGGAGACTATAGAGAGGGAGACAAATAGAGAGGGAGACCATAGAGAGGGAGACCATAGAGAGGGAGACCATAGAGAGGGAGACTATAGAGAGGGAGACCATAGAGAGGGAGACCATAGATTGGGAGACCATAGAGAGGGAGACCATAGAGAGGGAGACTATAGAGGGGGAGACTATAGAGAGGGAGACCATAGAGAGGGAGACCATAGAGAGGGAGACCATAGAGAGGGAGACCATAGAGAGGGAGACCATAGAGAGGGAGACCATAGATTGGGAGACCATAGAGAGGGAGACCATAGAGAGGGAGACTATAGAGAGGGAGACCATAGAGAGGGAGCCCATAGAGAGGGAGACTATAGAGAGGGAGACCATAGAGAGGGAGACCATAGAGAGGGAGACTATAGAGAGGGAGACCATAGAGAGGGAGACTATAGAGAGGGAGACCATAGAGAGGGAGGACCATAGAGAGGGAGACTATAGAAAGGGAGACCATAGAGAGGGAGACTATAGAGAGGGAGACCATAGAGAGGGAGACCATAGAGAGGGAGGCCATAGAGAGGAGGACTATAGATAGGGAGACCATAGAGAGGGAGACCATAGAGAGGGAGACCATAGAGAGGGAGACCATAGAGAGGGAGACCATAGAGAGGAGACTATAGAGGAGGGAGACCATAGAGAGGGAGACCATAGAGAGGGGAGACCATAGAGAGGGAGACAAATAGAGAGGGAGACCATAGAGAGGGGAGACCATAGAGAGGGAGACAAATAGAGAGGGAGACCATAGAGAGGGAGACTATAGAGAGGGAGACCATAGAGAAGAGACCATAGATAGGGAGGACCATAGATAGGGAGACTATAGAGAGGGAGACCATAGAGAGGGAGACTATAGAGAGGGAGACTATAGAGGGGGAGACTATAGAGAGGGAGACAAATAGAGAGGGAGACATAGAGAGGGAGACCATAGAGAGGGAGACCATAGAGAGGGAGACTATAGAGAGGGAGACCATAGAGAGGGAGACCATAGAGAGGGAGACTAAGAGAGGGAGACCATAGAGAGGGAGACTATAGAGTGGAGACCATAGAGAGGGACCATAGAGAGGGAGACAAATAGAGAGGGAGACCATAGAGAGGGAGACCATAGAGAGGGAGACCATATAGAGGGAGACTATAGAGAGGGAGACCATAGAGAGGGAGACTATAGAGAGGGAGACTATAGAGAGGGAGACTATAGAGAGGGAGACAAATAGAGAGGGAGACCATAGAGAGGGAGACCATAGAGAGGGAGACAAATAGAGAGGGAGACTATAGAGAGGGAGACCATAGAGAGGGAGACCATAGAGAGGGAGACCATAGAGAGGGAGACTATAGAGAGGGAGACCATAGAGAGGGAGACCATAGAGAGGGAGACCATAGAGAGGGAGACCATAGAGAGGGAGACTATAGAGAGGGAGACCATAGAGAGGGAGACCATAGAGACGGAGACCATAGAGAGGGAGACCATAGAGAGGGAGACAAATAGAGAGGGAGACCATAGAGAGGGAGACCATAGAGAGGGAGACCATAGAGAGGGAGACCATAGAGAGACCATGAGGGATCAAATAGAGAGGGAGACTATAGAGAGGGAGACAAATAGAAGAGGGAGACCATAGAGAGGGAGACCATAGAGAGGGAGACCATAGAGAGGGAGACTATAGAGAGGGAGACTATAGAGAGGGAGACCATAGATAGGGAGACTATAGAGAGGGAGACCATAGAGAGGAGACCATAGAGAGGGAGACCATAGAGATGGAGACTATAGAGAGGGAGACTATAGAGAGGAGACAAATAGAGAGGGAGACTATAGACAGGGAGACCATAGAGAGGGACACCATAAGAGAGGAGACCATAGAGAGGGAGACCATAGAGAGGGAGACCATAGAGAGGGAGACTATAGAGAGGGAGACCATAGAGAGGGAGACCATAGAGACGGAGACCATAGAGAGGGAAGACCATAGAGAGGGAGACAAATAGAGAGGGAGACATAGAGAGGAGACTATAGAGATGGAGGGAGACCATAGAGAGGGAGACCATAGAGAGGGAGACCATAGAGAGGGAGACCATAGAGAGGGAGACTATAGAGAGGGAGACCATAGAGAGGGAGACCATAGAGAGGGAGACCATAGAGAGGGAGACCATAGAGAGGGAGACTATAGAGAGGGAGACAAATAGAGAGGGAGACCATTGAGAGGGAGACCATAGAGAGGGAGACAATAGAGAGGGAGACCATAGAGAGGGAGACTATAGAGAGGGAGACCATAGAGAGGGAGACCATAGAGAGGGAGACCATAGAGAGGGAGACCATAGAGAGGGAGACTATAGAGAGGGAGACTATAGAGAGGGAGACAATAGAGAGGGAGACCATAGAGAGGGAGACCATAGAGAGGGAGACCATAGAGAGGGAGGCCATAGAGAGGGAGACTATAGAGAGGGAGAACCATAGAGAGGGAGACCATAGAGAGGAGACCATAGAGAGAGGAGACCATAGAGAGGAGACCATGGAGAGGGAGACCATAGAGAGGGAGACCATAGAGAGGGAGACTATAGAGAGGGAGACAAATAGAGAGGGAGACCATAGAGAGGGAGACCATAGAGAGGGAGACAAATAGAGAGGGAGACCATAGAGAGGGAGACTATAGAGAGGGAGACCATAGAGAAGGAGACCATAGATAGGGAGACCATAGATAGGGAGACTATAGAGAGGGAGACCATAGAGAGGGAGACTATAGAGGGGGAGACTATAGAGAGGGAGACAAATAGAGAGGGAGACCATAGAGAGGGAGACCATAGAGAGGGAGACCATAGAGAGGGAGACTATAGAGAGGGAGACCATAGAGAGGGAGACCATAGAGAGGGAGACTATAGAGAGGGAGACCATAGAGAGGGAGACTATAGAGAGGGAGACCATAGAGAGGGAGACCATAGAGAGGGAGACAAATAGAGAGGGAGACCATAGAGAGGGAGACCATAGAGAGGGAGACCATAGAGAGGGAGACTATAGAGAGGGAGACCATAGAGAGGGAGACTATAGAGAGGGAGACTATAGAGAGGGAGACTATAGAGAGGGAGACAAATAGAGAGGGAGACCATAGAGAGGGAGACCATATAGAGGGAGACAAATAGAGAGGGAGACTATAGAGAGGGAGACCATAGAGAGGGAGACCATAGAGAGGGAGACCATAGAGAGGGAGACTATAGAGAGGGAGACCATAGAGAGGGAGACCATAGAGAGGGAGACCATAGAGAGGGAGACTATAGAGAGGGAGACCATAGAGAGGGAGACCATAGAGAGGGAGACCATAGAGAGGGAGTCAAATAGAGAGGGAGACCATAGAGAGGAGACCATAGAGAGGGAGACCATAGAGAGGGAGACCATAGAGAGGGAGACCATAGAGAGGGAGTCAATATAGAGGGAGACTATAGAGAGGGAGACAAATAGAGAGGGAGACCATAGAGAGGGAGACCATAGAGAGGGAGACCATAGAGAGGGAGACCATAGAGAGGGAGACTATAGAGAGGGAGACCATAGAGAGGGAGACCATAGACTGGGAGAACCATAGAGAGGGAGACTATAGAGAGGGAGACCATAGAGAGGGAGACCATAGAGAGGGAGACCATAGAGAGGGAGACTATAGAGAGGGAGACCATAGAGAGGGAGGACTATAGAGAGGGAGACCATAGAGAGGGAGACTATAGAGAGGGAGGACTATAGAGAGGGAGACCATAGAGAGGGAGGACCATAGACTGGGAGACCATAGAGAGGGAGGACTATAGAGAGGGAGACCATAGAGAGGAGACCATAGACTGGGAGACCATAGAGAGGGAGACCATAGAGAGGGAGGACCATAGAGAGGGAGACTATAGAGAGGGAGACCCATAGAGAGGGAGACTATAGAGAGGGAGACTATAGAGAGGGAGACCATAGAGAGGGAGACCATAGAGAGGGAGACCATAGATTGGGAGACCATTGAGAGGGAGACTATAGAGAGGGAGACCATAGAGGAGGGAGACCATAGAGAGGGAGGACCATAGAGAGGGAGACTATAGAGAGGGAGGACTATAGAGAGGGAGACCATAGAGAGGGAGACTATAGAGAGGGAGACTATAGAGAGGGAGACTATAGAGAGGGGAGACAAGAGAGAGGGAGACCATAGAGAGGGAGACCATAGAGAGGGAGACCATAGAGAGGGAGACTATAGAGAGGGAGACTATAGAGAGGGAGATCATAGACTGGGAGACCATAGACTGGGCAGAGAGAGAGACCAGTATGCTATATGAACACAGCCAGTATGCAAAATGCATTGATCAAACACTGATTTGTTTAGTTCTTTTTTTGTACAGGTTTAGAGTAGATATTTCTTTGAAATTAAATATTTTTCATTGTAATTGAAAATCATGTAGACACAAAGCTCATTAGTGCAAAGCCTCCCTATAGGTTTCAAGTAAACAGCATCTATCTGTATTATACAGTGTGAATGATCTCAGTTTCCCTCTTTGGCTGCATTTAGACAGGCCGCCCAATTCTGATATTTGTTTCACTAATCAGATCAGCTCTGAAAAATATCTAGTGTGAAAAGATCTGATGTGATTGGTCAAAAGACCAATTAGTGGGAAAAAGATCAGAATTGGGATGCATGTCTAAACATGGCCTACAAACAGGTTTCCATCCAACCATTTCATGAGGATGAATTAATTACCTGATGCATTAAAAAAGTCGTGACCGGGCTGATGGAAACAGGAAATGCCAGTGCAATTGTATAAATGCCGACAGTCAATTTGTTCGTTTTGACATATTTTTGTGTTGGTTGAATTAACTATGCGAAAAATAGCGGTGGAAACGCCTTTATGCGCAAATATTGATATAATAACCATCAAATTGAAGTAAACTTGGAGTCACGCGATGATATATTGTGTAGTCCTCCCACTACGATTCGGGAAACCATGCAGTTTATTAGGCTACAGATGAAATAAGTTATGACGAACTTCACAGGGTGGTGAAAGTGCACGGTGATCTTGATGCTCCTTTCCAATAAACATCTTATTCTGGTGTCATGATGACGCTTATATATCTTATTCTGGTGACATGATGACGATTAAATATCTTATTCTGGTGACATGATGACGCTTAAATATCTTATTCTGGTGACATGATGATGCTTAAATATCTTATTCTGGTGACATGATGACGATTAAATATCTTATTCTGGTGACATGATGACGCTTAAATATCTTATTCTGGTGACATGATGACGCTTAAATATCTTATTCTGGTGACATGATGATGCTTAAATATCTTATTCGGTGACATGATGACGCTTAATTATCTTATTCTGGTGACATGATGATGCTTAAATATCTTATTCTGGTGACATGATGATGCTTAAATATCTTATTCTGGTGACATGATGACGCTTAATTATCTTATTCTGGTGACATGATGATGCTTAAATATCTTATTCTGGTGACATGATGACGCTTAATTATCTTATTCTGGTGACATGATGATGCTTAAATATCTTATTCTGGTGACATGATGAC